CTACCATACTGCTTTGGGCCCTGCTAAAGTTCCGGTGGATATTGACGGTGTGTTTCTCAAGGTAATCTTTAGACTGCCTGTTGTTTCATCTGTAACAGTATTTGTTGTAATGAAATAACAATTTTGAATTTGAATTTATTTAACCCGGTTTGGCGCCATGTGGGCCCATGCAGGCGGCTATGAACCTATCCATATATTTACATGAGGGCAAAACCATTACGATATAAACCCCCTCCCCTATTAACTTTTATTTTCATTTATAGTCCTTCTTTACCTATAGGAAGTACAATTGGCTTTGAGTCCGAGACAGAACTAGCTATATTTATATTGGACCACGCCATCCTTTCCCTGCCCTCGCGTGCCAATGAGAGATTACTGTGGTCTTGAACTTGACCCCGATGGTCCAAATACTTGTGGTGTTGGGTTGACCAGGAGCTGTTGACGTGGGCGTCCTGACCCTGTCTTGAGTACCTCCAGCTTTTAGTGGGACACCAGAGTTGACCCTTGGTCGTCTGTAGATTTCGCCGCAAGTGTGGTTTATCCGTTCTCTCTATTAGTTCCTACCGTGCCTGCTGAACGCTGGACTTGTGTCCTGCGAAGTTCTGCCACGATTTGTAGTCCTTGCTGCAGTTTCAGCAAAGCACCGACTTCCTAGGGCATTCCCTGGTCTGATGGGTGCTCGCGCACTCACCACATCTCCTTGCCCTGTTGCAAGAGGCTTGGGTATGCCCCCAGTTACAGCAGTTGAAGCACTGCTTAATTTGCACTCGGGGTGACCAGAGCTGGGCCGTGTATAGCATTGAGTTGTATAAAATGCCGTTTCTTATCATTTCGCGTTGAAGTGCCTCTGTCGGCAAACTCGCGACGATTGATCCTCAAGTATGGCCGTTTCTTCCCATCCATCGGTGCTCCATTCCGTCGAAGAGCCATCTCACCCTGTTGATTTTTAGTTCGGGGATTAGAACTTTTTTTTCTGTCACAACTTGATTTATGAATTCGCCATTGTTTGGATTTTTCCCTCCTCTTATAAATGTCCCCAAGGGGTTCCCCAAAATTTCAACAGGGTAATCCTGCTTTATGATGCAGAACTCCTTTGGCTGCGCCATACTTAGGGCCGCGTCTCGCTGGGAGACCAACTGTACAAACACCTCGGTATTATTGCTCCGCAGCTTCCTTACTGCGTATGCCCCCTCAATGGGTAGTTTTGCCTTATCTAGGACGCTGCCGGCTCCATTTTATCTGCTCCTTGTCTTCTTATTCTGACTACCGCTTTGGTCGTTGGCGGTGCGACGATTGAGACGTATGTTGGTCGCCCTCCCATCCCTTGTACTGCCGAAGCAGCCCTCTTGTGCGACGGCTCCTCGAGATTCTTCGTGACTGCCTTCTCTAAGGCTAGAATCTATTCTTCCATTTGTGAAGCCTTTGGCTTCGATTGTAGCATAGTAGCGTGGGCTTTGAAGGCATCGAGTGCCTCACCTATTTCGACCATCGGTGTCGCAGATTTGTCAGTGCCTGCTATCACCAGTCTGTCTCTGACCTTATTTAGATAAAGCCCTACTGTCTTTATCGTATCCATGTTGACGCCTGTAGAGGTCGCGAGAGACTCTACAGCCGTAATTGCGGCGGTTCCGCTATCCGTTGGTGGTGGTTGTCGCGCCGTGAAAAGTTTTTCAGTCGTGGAATCCACCTTTCTGGCTCTCCAACTCGCCATGCCGAAGCGCAACGTAGAAAATTGGGGATTCAGATAAGAAGGACTGATTAAGATGGTAACTATTATAAAAACGATGAAATAACGTTCATGGAACGTGGTGCCGCTTTTGACCAAATGATGATGTTCTTGTATTTATTTATAATCATGAAATAACAATCGTTATATTGATAAAGACTTCACAAAATTACAATACACATTTCCTATCATATGAATATCATCTGTAGTCCACAAGTTGAATCCTGCTCTTGTCGAGGGCGAAATGATCTTTTACTGTGCTTTATGAGCCTTTATTTGTATGTTAGTGGATAGAAAGCGTTAGGATATGGCGAGGGCTTCCCCGACTACCGCTGTGGCATTTGATACCGCAACATCTCTAATCTATGCCAGCGGCATTATCGTCGTCATGATCATCATAGGCTCTATCGGAAGCATATCTTTGAGTGAGAGGGAGGTAATTCAGCTCATAGCTGAAGAGGTGATACTCAATCTCGAATCAGCGAGCTCCATAGTGAGAGTAGTGCAATGGAATACATCTAAATCAATATCATATTGTGTCATAGCTAGATAGCTGCATACGCAATTAAAATCTGGTGCGAAAAAAATCTATATCATCCCCTGCCAAATACTATTTTTTTAATTTTTTTTTATATTCATTTTGTATTCAGTTATGTAGCTTTGACAATTATTTATAATTTACAAACAACTACTCCAAATACCTCCAATTATAACTCCCTGCCGAATACGAGTCTTGGCATATAGCATATGTGTTGGTGGGTCAAGTAATGGGTTAGTTACCACATGGGTTGAGTTCAGGGTTTATCTCATGTAACGTTGAGTTGTCGTATGAGTTGGGAGGAAGCTCCAGTTCACTTTTACCTAGAGTGTAACTAGTTGCTTTGCTGCTGATGGGATAGGGCATACGACGTTCTTGTGTCATTATTACCCGTTGGAGAATACCCACCTGTTCGAGCTACCTGTACATCACAACTCCTACCCGGTGATATTATCCATCTGAGACGTCTCCCTTACAAGTAGGAGATTTGCAGAGAACACTGCGGATAAGCGTCGACTTTTTGTCTCCCAAGCTGAAACTACGAAGGCTTTCATTTGTCCTCGGACCATTGGCTGGGTTCATTGAAAACAAAGGTGAGATACGCAAAAGATAGCCCGTGCCAGCCCTCACCCCAGCTCCTTGCCGTCCGCGCGATGCGGGTATAAGCGGGATGCGTCGCTGATCAGGGCCGTTCCGTAAATTAACGTCCCGGCGAGCGAGGGTGCTTGTTGCACAATCTTTTATTCCCTATCGCCGAACACTGTAGACTAGTTTCTTCAGGAAAAAGTAGTATGCCTATAATCTCTCGTCTCACCAGGCCTTCGAATCATATTGTGCTAAGTCTTGGGAGTAGTGACATTAAGGGGAATTATACAGGCTATCCAGGGCAAGACCCTCAGTATCCATTGGTAAATATCAAACAAAACAATTGTCAAATTTATATTTATATGTTAAAATTTATTAGATATCTTTAGCAGTCCTTCATAGCCATAGAACTAGAAGAGACTTAAATTGAATTATATTCTACTCTATTCTTCAGGCTATCCAAACCAGGATACTTCATGTAAATATTTACAGGTGAAGTCCATAACGTGAGAGTCATTGCTACCAAATGAACTATTGAATTTTCAAGGGAGTTTATGATCAAGTACTAAAGCTATGTATCTAGATGTATATCAAGTGATTTAATTTTTTAGATACAATATATATTATGCTAGAAAGATTAAATTAAATCGCTATTGAACTCGTGAATCCTTGTTAGGCAGAGAAATTTCTGAGACCTAGATTTAGAAGGTCACATGTAATACTGCAATTTTATCACCAGTAATAGTGTCGGAACGATTAATTCGGTTGAGTCTATCTTGGGTTTGGAGTTGGTGGTCCCTGCATGATGTATAACAGTTCTCTTTGTAATTCTTTTATATCGGGTAAACTATTATCCGAGGATAGATACCAACTTCGTGGCTATAGTGTAGGGGAGAGATATACATAATCAATCGAACCCAATCGAACAATTGTTCTCATTACGTACTGCAGTACTCTCATAACTTCAAGTGAACCTATTGGCTTGTAGTGTATGACCTTTGTCATACCAACAAATAGAACACTTCTAGAGGCCGGATAACTAACCCAAGATGAAGTATTTTTGACATTGTTGCTTGTATCAGTATAGCCGTAATAGGGGTGGCTAAGATAACTGGGTTTATATACTCTATGATGATTGTATTTGAATTAATTTGCGTGCCCCAAAGTCCTTACTAGTTTAAGACTCAGTAGGGACTTTAATTTTATTACATTCTATTTCGTGCCCCGAATTATCACGATGCGGCACTCTTGATTTTTACTTTAAGGTAAAGTTTTAGCTCCATTATATAGCGAAATATTTGTTATACTATTTGCAACGCGAATATATGGAATTTTCGGGATCCACAAGCATCAGTCAAATCGACCTTTAGCTTCAGGAGCCATCAAATCGTTGGTGTTTTATCCCTTAGAGGGGGCCTCATCTAAAAGTTGCTGAGACTAATTTAAAGGCTCAGGATTGAATATTATTCCCATCAAGTAGACCCTAAAACGACTCTATCTATCCTGTAATCAAGGAAGCCTCATAAATCATTTGAAAGTAGTAGACATGAACCGTGAACCGTGAAACATGAAAAAATAGACTAACATAAGAGTCTTCGATTTACCTGTTCATTTGTTGTTCTAACGGAATATTTAAGTCGAGACTATAGCATTTCTTTCAATCAAAGAGCTTTTTGGAGAATTGGTAGCCTAGAATTTAGTTGTTTTATTTCGAGAATCATGCTTACAGTATCCTATTTGTGGATAATGTAACACGGAAAAATGCGAGGCCTATGATTTCGGACGATTAATTCCGTCAAAGGCTACCCATAGGCCTCTCTTCATTCTGATTGCTTTAATATTGAAGCTATTTGGAGAGAGGGGTGCCATAGATATTTAGTCGCTGAATGTTTCTAGCTATTTAAACGTGTATTGGATGTTCAGTATTTCACTAAAACTTGTAGCTCATATTCTTTCTGAAAATTTCCAAATAGAGCGACAATCAATCTCTTTATTGACTGAGTTATGGAGCAATGAATTTCCCTGAAGATCCACGAGGTATTAAGTATGCTAGGATATAGTAGCAAAGGGTATCGTAATGTCGAGGTCCAATTACGAGACTCGCAAAGTAAATGTCGCCTTGCGTTGTGATGATGATCGTGGAGTTAATTATCAATCTACAGCCTCTGGCTGTTGTTGGTGATTATTAGGGCAGAGACTTGTTACCATGGGGCTCGGGTATTCGGTAATAGAATCTGTTTCCTGCGAGAAGGGAATTTTTGGTGTTCGCTCGAAAATATTGACTGGGCTACTAACGATGGCATGGAGTCCACTATTTAGAGGAATTCCCTTCCGGATCTGACTCCAATCATGATAGCATGCTTCCAAACTAGTTGTTGCATAAATAATAGCATTCCACAAGCCTTGCAGGGGCAGGACAAATGCAGAGACATAATGTAATGCATAGTTCACTTGGCCGTGATACACTAAGCTATAGACGCGATTTGCAGAAGATGGAATCCAAGTTATCATCATAGCTGCAAAAAAGAGAGCAGAGACTTTGGTATATGACCAAACAGCTTTATTAGCTTCAGTTGTCGCGTATCGACGGATAGGTGTAACATGTGTACTTCCTAGGCCCCTAATTCTAGAAAAATGTTTTGGTGGGTTAGCACTAATTTCAATCTTGTAGTCTGGCGACGATTGGTGAAGCTGATCCGGTAGGATCTGATGACAGCGCTCTAAATCGTTGGATGGAAAAAAGTATTCTGAATGCGTCTCGATGGTATGGCTCACCAAAACTTGACCGATAGGCTCGCTTCTAAATGGATCTTTCATGATCATTATTGGATCAGGGGGTGGCGCATTGTAGTTACGAAGCTGCTGTCGCTTAATCCAGATATCTTTTCCAGCTCGCACATATATCGAAAGGCTGACCAGAATTGCGAGCCTGTACGTTATTAGCAATGAGAAAATTCTTCTGCACATCACTTTACCAGACAATTCCATAAAAAGTAACGATCCGAAATACATTCCAATCCGGCGCTATCCAGCACCACAGCGTCGCATCACCATACGCACGCCCTTTTGTAGCTGTCGAGATGAACAAAAAAGCTACGGCTGGAACAAAAGGTAAGCCATAACAGGCCAGAATATAGTAAACTTCCAATCTCCTTAAATCAGATGCATTGTAGTGCCAGTAGAAGGTAAAATAGACATTCAAAGACATTGCTAATGCCCACAAAACATCTGCTGGCATAAACCTAGAATTACTTATTGGTAAGAAGTCACGAGCTAGGTAGATATTCATAATTGGTCTGAGATTACTTACATTTGTATTAAAAATGCTTGAGTTTGACAGAGAGCTCCATCAAAATGTCCATGATCCACTGGTGATCTTGATATCAATGTAGCAACGTTTGAGGCCATATTTCCAATGGAGGCATAGAAAACAAGACGATTTATAGGCTTGTGAAAAGAGGTAGAGCAGAGAAAAGTGACCACAATGAAAATGGTCCCAGCCAGAGATAAAACAGAGCCAATCCTTTCAATGATACTTAGATTAGAATAATGTTGCTTCGCTATAGCACTGATCATGATCAGGCTACTTGCATTATTCGCATTGCTACTGCTGAGGGTTTCCATCTTAATCGAGCCGGCTTACTGATATAGAGCCGTGGTTTTTAAAATTCATATATCAAAAAAGTAAAGCTTACTTGGACTTATAGCATCGTATTTTTTTAAGTTGGTATCCTGTTTCTTTATATAGGCTGTACTTTGATGATTTATTTTGTATGAGTTGGTAAAAATTTCAAAAGACAATTAGCTCCTTTCCTAATCAATGATAACAAATGATGAATATTGAGCTGCACAAAAAACTTTTGCCGGACAATTTTCTTCTGAGGGCCAGGAGAAACTAGATAATAAATCTTTCGGTCTTTGAAATCCAATTCTGTCGGATGGAACGTGAATGGATAAAGGATTTCACCATAATCACCTGCCACGACAATTTAAATCATATGAATTCATTGACATCCATGTCTCTATGGAAAATTGAGTCGAGCTTGAAGTACTACCCTAGCTTTTTAACGTATCCGACATCCAAGTTTGAGGCCAAAACTCTGAGTCGAAGGCGGCAATTAGAGAATATTCCCCCTCTTTACTGTCCCCGATAAGATAGCAGTTTCGCAAAAAACACATTATTTTATGCCATTGGGTGATGAGTACAAAAAAGGCTACCTGCAGCTTTGCAATGGTAGCAGAGGAAGAGACAAGACTAATCCGTCACTGCCGCTGGCAGTACACGGTAAAATTAACCCAAGTGCAATGAACAACCCCGCCGATTCATTTTTTATCATTCAAAGAAAAGGAACACTTATTTACCCTGATACCCATCACAAGTTTCCTCATGTATACTAGCAGTTTGGAAGTTTGGAAGAATAATCGCTGAGACTTTCAGGATGCCAAAATACCACATAATGACACAAGACTTTGTACGAATGAGGATCATTGATGCTTCAACAATTAACCAATGGTAAATTACAAGGGCTAGATACACATTGGGATGCAGGAGACGAATCTTGCTATTCATAGCCGGCAGAGCTAGATCGGAACGAAGGGGTAAAGTGGATGCAATGTAGCAGTGTAACTCGCTGAGGGATCGTTAACTTTGCAATTGATGTGATGTTGGTTTGAAAATTGGCTGCTTCTACTGATGCTGAACGAACTATTATCTTGATACAGTCAGGTTGTCGATTATTTATAAACGGAATCTTACTTCTTGTACGCAGCAAGGCTTAATTGTACCATAGAATCAGATTCGACTGACTAATATTATACTGTGGGTCTGTGGAGCCCTAAATTGCGGTTCAACATGGCACTAGCTTGCCCAGATGGTTCGATCTTGCTTAGTCTGGGCCGATTTTGCATCAGCAGAGCCTGTTAAGTTAGTTACTATTTCGGTATTTACTTAGGAAACCTTTTCGTGCAAAGATTATTTCTATCTCCACAGATCTTTTAATGATTTCGAATTTATTCTTCAAAATACAGGTTATATCGAGTCGCCATCTGATATTCCCATCGCCTCTTAATCTTCACATTCAATGTCTCTTCCTCTCACTCCTTTCCCACAGCGGCGACTCAGCTATCTTTGTCACCTCAAAATGCGCAACAGGGTGGTCAGATGGGTGGATATCGCTCGCGTCTCAGTGATGGGTCTCGCAACCCCTATGGTGGAGTTTCACGCGAAATTAGGTACGATTGCCTCCAAGGAATGACTCTATGCGATATATTTCTTTGAAGAAATACATTATCTTGCTGATTGGGTGAATGAGTGGCAGGTTAATTTTAATTTTTAGAGTCTTGGGTGATTTCGTCTGTCTACATCTGATCATCAATATCATTTGCCAATCAGCGAGGACGTAGGATAAACTTCTCTTTGAAAAGCCTTTGGACGTGTCAAGTTTCGAGTTTCGCGTACCACGCGTCGAGCTCTTTGTTAACCGTAACGTCATACATATCCAGGATCTTCTCTAAGTTGCAAAAGCGCATTGCAATCGAAAAATAGGCATGCACCAACTAATTCAGTCTAGAAGGAACAGCCGATGCATCAACCCGTTCTGAAGGTCAACTGTACTGGGATTTAGTCCATATTCATTCATTCCCCAGATTCTTTCGAGTGATCAACAATCGCCCAGAGCTCCCCACTTCACAGCTTTGCGCTTATTAACAAGTCCAAACACTGACAGCCGGCTCATCTATTGACTGGTCGATTAAGACTGTTCCGAGAGGAGGGACCAGTCGAAGGAGATGGTGCTGTTCCACGACCTACTAACATTTAGCGAGTAAGGCAGTCTGCGCCGGAAAGTTAGTTGGCGTAACGCGCGACGCTATATGATTGGTAATTGGATACTGCCCTTGAACATTTACTGAGTCTCCACGGGATCGGAAGACACCGTAGTATAATGTCCTTGCCAGCCTCTCAAATATATTCTGGGGCTCTAAACTATTTAGTCTAATTTAGAGAGAGATAGCTGTTTTGAATTTGAATTAGAAATCTTTTACGTGACAGGGAGGATCCGACTTCTATTAAGATGTGACACGGGTAGATGGGCTCTGAGAGCTCATTGCTACCTACATGACCGGCAATAAAGCCAGAAGCGACAAAAGAAAAGAAAAAAGGTACAGTAAATGTCTGAGTAACGGTGCCCTGCGCCGCATCCCTATCTTCCAAACCCATTTACTCTTAAGTTAGAAACAATCTCAGCATGATCACCTCCCACCCTGTTCATTCTTCAGCAGACTGTAGCATCTGTTTGCAGTTAGTAATTGAATGAACTTCTGCCATCCCTTCTCGCCATCATTTCCCTGGCCCCAGGTGGGACCATTTTCTCATAGCCTCTCCAAAGTTGCAGGGCAGGTCGGCACTCTGAAAAATGCCAGGGCCTTTTCTCTCGGTCGCAAACGCATTTCAGGTCTTCATATTCGGGGTTGATACGTCGATGGTGGTCGGCATAGTCCCCGTGGCCTGTTATTGGCGCAATCAGACGATGATACGCCCATAGATAGCTGGTTTGAATCTTATAAGGCTCGAATATACGCGCACGTCTGGCAAAATCATATGATTTGGGCTTTGTGGCGTAGCCAAAGGAGTTGAACGATTTTTTAGCTGACAAACACAGTTAGTTAGAGCGTTGAAGTAATTCTAGCAGACTTGACCCATCTCATGAGCGCGGCTATATATCTAATGGTAAACTTTGCATGAGAAATTCGATAGAGAATAACTTTCATTCGTCTTTTGTTCAACTGAATCCTAGGCTCTGTAATTGATATACCTCAGTGTAAAGAAATTGTAGTAATTGAGTATCGTCGGATGGACTAGGATTCATGGAAAATTAAAAATAGGAAGGGTAGATAGAACGAGACTTGTAATATATTCGCTCTTCAGGGTCGAGAAGACTCTTGAACACGCAAGGAACGGAGCAGTTCTCTAATCAACGAGTGACAACTGTTAAAATATATCACTTTTGATTGATCCGTATAAACTTACCGTATTATAATAATAATTCATATTGGTACTCAGAATTGCGAGGGATAGCAGAGATTGATGGTGTTTATGGCAATGCGGGAATCGGCAATGGTGGACAAGGATGGAACACGTATATAAATACATTACGCACTTGTCTCCTCTTTAATATGACGAAGCTTCCGACTACGTTCAAAATGCCCATGCCTACTCTGGGCTAATCAGCCCTATTTACGTTGGCCTGATCTCTTAATTAATGTCCTCTCCCTCATTTATCTTTATACGACAGGCCATGCCATTCTTCATCTTGTTTTCCATCATCAGGCCCAGAGTCGGAGACGAATTAAATATTTAACACCAGCTGACTCTAAATCTTAAAGATCAGCAAATTTCGTAGCCGCTGAAGAAGATTCATTAATAGTATATAATGTTAGAGAAATAATGATCCCTCAGCAATTAAGTTGTTGCTTTTTATAAGATTTCAGTTTGTTGTTTGTTTATTAAAGTCCTTTGGGGCGCCGAGCCGAAGTTCGTACCCGCAGTTCCTAACAAACTCTTAGAGGGATGGACACCAGTGCTTACCACCCTGGTGGCCTGATTCCTGCTACTCCCGACTTTGGATGCCGGGCGCTATTTGTCTAAGGTTAAGGTGGTGTATGACAAAGCTCAGACACCAGGCGCATTATCAAAGCTAAAGAATACAATGAATGAATCAATTCATAACACTTTTAGCCAAGTGCGCAGTAACAACGTAGCCTGCTGTTGAGAAATGCTGCTTGGTCAGTTGTGTGATTCAGTTAAAGACCCTCATTCTCTCTGAAATTAACTCGTACTATGAAGTTTGATGTAGGCAGCAGGGCGGAGACAAGGGTTAAGGTTTAATTATTCAGGCTGAGAGTTGCCATCAAACATTGTGAATGAGATGATTGCAAAACCATTCGGCCAAGAGGCCAGACCAGAGTCAAAGGGCACTTTGCTCTAGATATCTCCACGTATGTAGATGTCAAAAGTATGAGAAGGGATCGCATTCTAAGGGCTCAGGAATTTCAGATTTTGAATATTCAAGAGTTCGACACTAATTGAGATTCAATATTTTGTAAGGGGTTCCCAAGAATGCAAGACCATAAACTGGCCGGCAAAGACGAATTCTTCACCTTCCAGTGGTGCCGGTATAATCGCTCAGTGTGCCCTGCATATCTGGGATAGCCAAGAAGAATCGCATCCGAATCAAAGTCGAAAGCAAACACATGCGTATCTGTTGTGATGTAATCATGCTGTGATGTTATCGTCTTGGTAGAATGAAGATTTAGTGGGGAAAGAGACTGGGTTAATGTTAGCGTATGCTGACTAGGCGGAGCTTTATATCTGGTATAACTATTCAACAATGGATACATTGTAACGGTGTGGATACAGTTAGGGGAGAGCAATATAATAGACTACAAACAGCTCTCTCGTCACTTCCAGACCTCGTAAACGGCTCAACATCCGCTCTCACGTGCATCTGAAAATATCATCCTCCAGCTCATATCCATAACAGTATCTCCGGAGGGCAAGACTGAACACCTGTACGCGGTGTCCTCTACGAGCCTGGAAGTGAAATATTCTCCTAGAGCCAAGTTCA